ATTCTCAACTTGAGACATTTGTCAATTTCTTTTTTTTTCCCTGTAATCTTTTGTTCTTTCTATTTCTGTCTGATATACTGTAGGTCCTCTGAAAATGTGACATACTACCCAGATTTCTTGCTCTCTAGACTTTGAGAGGATGCTGGGCACTTTAAGGGAGCTGAATTGGCATGATAGAACAAATCACTCCTGTTTTCCTCATGAAACTCTAAACATTTAACACATGTTTTGTTCTCCCCATTTCCCTCTCCAGTGGGGGAAACCAGGAGCTGGGAGTTTTCTCTTGAGCATCCTGTGCTGACAGTGAGGGAATGCCATGAATTTTCCCAACAGCTTCATTGTGAATGACTTCTGCATTCTGCTGAAGTCCAAGAGCCTCTTAGCTAGTTTCTAGATTTCTCATAAAGGGAATTGGCCTGAGTGTTGTTGAGTTTTGTTGCTGAGTGTTGTTGGTGTTTTCATTGGGATAAACAGGGTGTGGGGCTTCTTTCTTCACCATCTTCCTCGTTTCACCTCTGTTGTATCTTTTTACAAGAAATTTTATAAGTGCTAGAGGATATTTTCCTCATACAAGCAGATGTTACTAGACTGAAAAACAGAATATTTTTTCACGTTGTGAAATATTGCATTTGTATGCCACCTAAAATTAAAATGATCTCCTATGCAAAGCAAATCATCTTCCCTTTCCAACCCAAAATTTGAGATTCACTAGGATAGTGGGAAAGTCCTTGAATCAAAAGACCTGTGTTGGGAACTGCATCACACACACACACACACACACACACACACACACTGAGTCACTTTGCTTTTCTTATCTTATGTTCCATATCTAATGGGAGTAATTATACCTAGCTGAGTTATAATGAGAAGTAAACCAGGAAATGGGTGCACATTGGAAGCCTTAATAATTTGAATGGTTTTAACCAGATTTAAGGTAGTGTTATGTTAAGAGAAGATTGTTAGCAAATATATTATGGTTTCATAGTAGGAAAGACTGGATGGAAAATGAAGGCTGGTAAAATTGCCATGTTTCTGACTGGATTATTAGGACTACTCATGGTACTGCGGGGAGGGAAAGGACAGGGAACCTTTGAAAAGATCAGAACTTTCCTTCAGTGGCTCTCTGGGGAGATGCGGTCTTTGATGAGCCTGAACAGAATTCACTCAACAGCTATAGAGCATCCCCCACTGTCAGGTTTGGGAATGGCCTAAACTCCTCTCAGTATTTAAATCATGGCTGCTAACTGTCTTTTTACCTGTTCTACTGCTGGGATTGCTCAGTGTACTTTCCACTCCTGTCCAAGCTCCTGGGAGAGAGTCTTACTCTCCGGAGGCAGGACCATGATCGACAGCTGCGCCAGCAGTTCACACAATGAGATAGCAAGGTGTCAGGATGCTGGGACTCCACGAAGTGGACACAGAGTGGGGCCGACAATGGAGAATCCAAATAAGGTGAAAAAGTGTGATTTACCTGGAGTTCAGAGTGGGTCTATTTTTTTTATCTGCAATAGAAGAATGAAATTCATTGCTATTGAGGTCCTGGAAGGAAAGGACCATCAAGAAATTCAAAGTGAAGGTCAACTGAAGGACTTTTGCCACTCACACAGTCCTGGCTGCCCATTCTCCTCGGGATGATTTTGAAGACTCGTTACAGTCACTTCCAAGGGTTAGGTACACATCTGTAGCCCCATTTCAAGTAACATAGATATTAAATAAGAATCTGAGACCTTACTGAAACCCACGTTTGCTTCAGAAGTGATTATTCTGGGAAAAATAGCTTCTTCGTATAAAAAGTTTTCTCATTGTAGAATGAAGCGATGGGGAAATTTACACGTTTTTACAAGCGCTTCATATGACTTTTAAAGATCTCTGCAAATGTTAGTTGTCATAACTATTATTTTAGCACATATGCTAAGGAAGTTTCTGTTAGTATAGATTGCAAGTCTTGAGAGTAAGGTGTGTGTGTGTGTGTGTGTGTGTGTGTGTGTATACACACGCAAGCATTCACTGAGGTGCAGCCCTGAGCTAGACAAGCAGACAGTTGCTTGGGTAGACAGACAGTCATCCTTTGACACATGCAGTCTTGTGTCTTGTGCCTGCCCTGTGAACACTCACTTGTTTCCCCTGAGCTGTGCGGGGGTGATGTTGCTCGGCTTATTACCAAAACCAATTTCCAAGATGGGTAATTGTGTTCTGACTCACACAATTCCCCCTACATTTCCTGACTGTTTCAGGTGACTTATGTCTTCCTCTTTGCCCTTAATGGATATGTAATGAAGTGACATATTTCAAAGTCAAGGCTGTGTTTCAGGCTAGTGAGAATTTCTCTTAAATAATGTCTCAGTAAAGGGTCGGCATAAAGCCTGGCGCACATGTGCCCTGCCCCTACCCTCAAGAGAGCCATGTGGAAAAGGAAAAGGTCTTCAAGTAGGAGCCCATTTTTTTCAGGGTTTAGATATCCTCTGTACTCAAGCTCTTTAGAGTTAGTTACTAGTATTGCAGACAGGGTAAGAACCCAGGCTTCAGGTCAGCATGCTTTGTTCACATTTTTTAGATGAAAACTTGGTTGTTTGACTTTAACCTTTCTTGGTTTCAGTTTCTCATTTGAAAAAATGCTGATAATAATAGCATCTATGTTCTTACTTTTATGAAGAGTAAATGAGACATAATGTAAAAATACCGAGCATGGTATGTGACATATGTACTGGCTCCTAGTGAGATTGTTTTCCATTGATGCAATTCATCGGGATGTCATTGCCAGGAGACTCAAGTCTAGCTGGGAACTGGAGAGATAAATGTATTTATTTTAACGATCCACAGTAAAGTAGAGCTTCATGTAGTCTGTGTGTGAGCACAGAAAAGGGGCTAATTAATTTACATTGAGATCAGAGCAAGTTTACCAGAGGAAGTAGTTCTCAAAGGTGTGTTTGTGGGTGAGTTTGGATTTTATTCATAGAGTCTTGTGTATTTGTCGAGTTCCCACTATGTGACAGGCTTTTGGTGAGACTCAGAGAATACATGGTAAGCAAAATGTATACTATCCCTGTCCTCTGGGACTTTCTTTCCTGGCGCTAGATCAATAACTCTTATAGCCTTTGGAGAGTCATGAGGGAAAACACAAGATGGCACTGGGTGGTAGAACCTCGAGACTGGTTAGTATTGGGTGGGGGTTTCCAATAAGGCCTCTGTGGGTAAATGAGACTTAAACTAAGACCTGTAAGGAATGAAGTAGAGAGAGTAGAGGTGGCTTTATGCTTGGGGAACCATAGTGCATTCTCGAGCTAAATAAAGTCCAGTTCAGCTGTGGGATGTAGAGAGCATGGGGAAAGTAACAGAGGGCATGCTGCTGAGGTTCTAGGGGAAGACACAGATGTTTTGGTGGCCATTTGGGCTACAGGATTTGGATTTCTGTCCCAAGAGCAATGAAAAGTCTTGAAGTATTAGGTTTTTGTGCATATACATTCCAAAATCAGACTTATGTTTTGAAAAGATCATCTGCACAGTGAATTGCTGGGAATTAAAGTGGAAGTAGGGAGACCAATGAGTAGTTTTGGCAAGATGGTAGTGGCTTGTCTTGGGTTATTGGCATGAAAATAAACAAATAGACAAAGTCCACAGTTGTACCTGGTGAGCCCTGATGGCCCTGGCATGGGTGGAGGATGAGATGTGCTGCTGAGACCTTGGCAATTGTGGGGTGAACTGGTTTCTGAGGTGTGATATTTCATGCTTAGTAATTTGTATTTATACTATACGAAAGACCATCCGGGAAATGAACTAATCAGATTAGTGTGTGCATGGAGGATCTTTCTTTCTCCTCCCACTGATTTCTTGAGCCAGGTACTTATTGAATTTAGGATAACAGATGGGAGAGATAGTCCAGCATCACTACAGGCAAAGATGGATGGGAGGCAGATTCTTTCGTATAACAGCACAAAAGAAATATATTAAGGGGAGGTTAAACTTGTCAGTGAAGAAAGCTTATTTATCTTGTAAAATACTTATCCTGAAGCCACCTTCGCCTTCTTTCTGGCAGGACACCGACACAAGTTTACTAGTCTCCAGAGCAGCAGACAGGATTGTCATTGTGGAACACAATGACTCAACACCCATTATGGTGGGGGAGAGTTTACAAAGCGCTAAATGAGCTAAGGGGTTGTGAGAGAGGGAAGGACCCAAAGAAAGTGTAAATGGGGATATCTTTCCTGTAGATGAGAACAATATGGTTCTGTGCAGGGTTCTCAGACACTAAAACAGAGGTTCCATAGTGATTGGGAAGCTAGAAGTCAGAGGGAGTGAAAATATGTGGGAAACCAAATTCCTTATAGACTCTCTGTGTTAGAATGTAGCACTTGACCTGGAACAGTGGATGTTTTTGAGACTTTTGACACTGCATCTCTGCTGGCAAAGAGTGGGATAATTTCATGATGAATTATGCTGTCCTTTCCTTCCTTTCCCTTCCCCTCTCCTCCTTTCATCACTCCCTTCTTTTCTATTCTTTTCCTTTACCCTCTTGTCTTCTATTCATTCTTTCCTTTTCCTCAGGGTCTATGTGTTTAAGATACACTGTGTGTCTTGACTGAGTATCTCAGAAGGAACCAGTGCTCAGAAGAGATGATGCTGTTGGTGACTTTTGCAGTTGCAGAGAAGGGCTGAGCAGTGATGAGATAGACTTGAGAAGTATTGATAAGGTAGAGTCTTGTAACAATGAGAAATGAAAAAAACCCTAAATTTTCTACCTTGTGACATTTTAAACTCATGCCACTCATGTGCTTTGGGAAATTTAATGAGGAAATTTGCCAGCCTTCCTTGCTGTCTGTTAAGGATAACATTGACTTCCCTTACGTATGTCTTAGCTTTCAAATACAAATACATGGTCTCTTCTGTGAGGCTGTGTTTGTTGGTGATGTGCCTCACTGTTTTCTGTACTCGACTTTGGTTTTGTAGGTTGGAAGTGGTCACTCAGAAAGTGTGACCAAACTTTCAATTGTTCATTTTTTCAGGTTACAGAACTCAACAATGTGAAGAACGTAGCTCGATTGCCAAAGAGCACCAAGAAACATGCTATTGGGATTTATTTCAATGATGACACCTCCAAGACCTTTGCTTGTGAATCAGGTTTGTCTGAGGCAGGGGTCTGTGGCCATTGGCCTTTGACAGGGTGCTGGGCACACGGGTTAATCTTTTGGTCATTTCCATAGATCTTGAGGCAGACGAGTGGTGCAAAGTCCTCCAGATGGAATGTGTGGGCACGCGGATTAATGACATCAGCCTCGGAGAGCCTGACTTACTGGCCACCGGGGTGGAGAGAGAACAGAGTGGTATGTACAGAAAATTTTACCTTTTCTCTCTTATCAACTGTTTTGCCCCTTTGTAACTTCTTCATTACGTGAAAATTTCAAGTAATAAAAATATTTAAGGAGGGCTGGACACAGTGGCTCATGCCTAAAATCCTAGCTACTTGGGAGGCAGAGATCAGGAGGATCACAGTTTGAGGCCAACGTGGGGAAAAGTGTTAGTGAGACCCTGTCTCAACTGATCAGCTATGCTTAGTGGCTTACACTGTAATCTCAGCTATGCAGGAGGCATAGATAGTTGGATCTTGGTCTGCAGTTAGCGGGGTAAAAATGTCTGAAACATTACTAAAGCAAAAAGGGTTGGGTGTGGCTCAAGTGGAGCGCACTTGCTTGCCAAAAAAAAAGTATAATGAAGTCTTTTACTTAATGTGCGACCTGTGTTAACACGGCAGTGCATGTTTTCCTTGACATTTTTCACGTGTCAGATGAGGTGTCTGCATTAATATCAGTCAGAAATTTGAAGGACTCTATGGTGTGCCAGGTCAGCAGAAAATGATTTACCAGTAGTAGCGTATTTAATTTTCACTGCAGGCGGACGGCATTATGACTCCCCCATTTTACAGATGAGAAAACCCAAGCTTCAAAGAGCAAAACACCTTGCTCCAACTCCAGTAGCAAGTTAGCATCTAATTCCAGATTATGCTGTTGGGTCTGCATTTACAATGTACAGATTTTAAACTGCAATGGGTTTTTGTCTCACTTTTTCACTTAAAATGTTACTGAATTTTTTCCAATGCTTTTAATAGAATTTAAACTACATGAATATTTCAACGAGTTAACCACCTAAAAATCTGTGATTTTTTTTTTTTTTAACTGAACACTTGAGCCAACTCGGCTCATCATACCATCTAGGAATAAATCATTTTAAATAGTAATGACCGAAAATTTTGAGCCAAAATCAATGCTGTTTTTAGTCCAAGCCTGGAGTGATTTCCATGTTCAAGTAGCTGAACCTTATGACTGGGTAGATTGGATTTCAGGGTTCTTACTTGATCTATGAGAATTTTTCACAGTGGAAGGGTCTCCAAATCACCTGGACTGATGGCAGACATGGCAGGGGTGGAATTGTATGACCCTCTCCATTGTAAAAATAGTGTCCACTTAACTCGAACTGTGCCTGTGCCTTCAAGTCCTGTTTACACTCTGTTACTACGTTAGGCACAGTGTATCTGCCACAGTCCATCCCGACCCAAGTGGTACTGACTGAGCCTGGGAAATGCTGGTTAACTCAGGGGATCTCTTTGTAGATTGGGAAATTGAGCTACAGAGAGGTTAAGCCAGTTCTCGGGGTCATTTACCCCATCCTCAGACTTCTCCTTCTATGGTTCACAAAATCAGGAGAACACTGGGCAGAGAAGATGTACCCAGCACCTCACTGCCTGGGAACCAAACGTGAAGAAGGAAACATGACAGCACTTGATAATCGTTTTAGGGTGGTCACATCGTCACTTACTTTTCACAACTTTGTGGGCACTCAGCAGTGTCCTGATAGTCTACAAACTGAATTTAAGAATTGACTTTGCCTGTTTTCCCTTTCCCCTGCCAGTTCTCTCTGCCTAGCTCTCCTCTTTTGCAAATGGGAATAGGAAGATCTCTGGCAGAGAATGACTGGGGATTATTATAAAACTCAACTCTGTCTTATAAAGTGCTTTGCAGTCTTCTTTGTATGACTTCAAGTGATTGTAATTATAATGGTCACTCTACCACATGCACTCTAGGGAACTGCTCGACCTCTGAGCTACATCCCTAGCCCTACTATGGCTATTCTAGCAAACACACCTCTTCTAACAAATAAATGAGTGATGATTTCCTCACTTCTTACTTGATGAAAACAGTCTTTCTTATTTGGTCCAGAACTCTTGGGGGAGACATTTATTCCATTAGAATGTATTTTGAAAATAATAGCCACTAGAAATGTTGAATAATATTTATTTAATATTTAAATATTGGGTAAATATTTAATTATTGGGTGTTTGAAATCATTTAGAAAATTTGAATAGTAGATGCATGAATACATTTTTAAGAACACAATCTTGTCATTACTATTTATTAAAATCTGAAAATTCTAATGATTACCTTATTATAAAACAATTAATTTAGAATAACCTTAGTATAAAATTGTTAGTGCCATACTCTTCTGTTACATGTGTTGCTCTACCATAATGCTGGCTAGGTGAAAATACGTTTGCTATGGCAATCATCTTTTTGTTCATATTTCACTTACAGAATTTGACTAAAACTTCTTATATTAATGAATTTTCTAGAAACATAACAGAGATACTGTAACCATATCTGAAGGGATGAAAACTTGGTGGTAGTCATCAGCTAAGCAGTTTCTTTGGAGTACTCTTTGTGACATTTTTAACAATTGCGCAAGCAAACAAATGAATATTTCTTTTCCGGTAGTTGGCAAAAGGAAGCTCTTTGTTAAAACTAGTTCAAATACATCCATTGACATTTCTCCAAATGGCTGATCAGTTAATTGCACAGAATTAGTGTGGAGGTTTATTTGAATGATTTGGGATATAGCTTTGATCATTTAGTTATAGAAATAATAAGTCGATCAATACAAATTTAGTATCACTAAACCATGAGACAATTATTTTTGCACCTGCAGCCTTTATGAATGCAAACGTGGGTGTAATTAATGTGAGCTTGGTAGGAAAAAGAAATTGCCTTTAATGGTTTCATTGCTTTGGTCTTTTATTGGCATACAAATTTCTTATTACACAAATTGAAAATTCTAAAAGTGGTCTTTGCTCCTGTAAATAGTGTTTAGTGCGTGCTGACAGCCAGACTGTGTCATTATTATGTTATTTAACAGGATCTGCATTTCAAAAATCATGTTCTGGGATTGATCATTTATGAGAAACGTTTGTCTGTACGAATAGTCAAGTAAATCCTAGAATGTGAGCTTGAATTGTTTTTAAATGCTTCTATGTTCCTACAATGACTTTGATGTTTTGTTCCTGGGGATTTTAGACTAACCTTTTGTTTTTCTCCCAGAGAGATTCAATGTGTATTTGATGCCATCTCCTAACTTAGATGTACATGGCGAATGTGCCTTGCAGATTACATATGAGTATATCTGTCTTTGGGACATCCAGAATCCCAGAGTCAAACTCATCTCTTGGCCGCTCAGTGCCCTGCGGCGATATGGACGAGACACCACATGGTTCACTTTTGAGGCAGGAAGGTAAGTTTAATGGCTTTTAATGACTCTTTTGCCAGATTTCCATTTTTCTTCTCAAAGCTCTTTGGGAAATTCATAATGCGAGGGGTATTATAAAATATTCATATATTCAACATAGCTTCCCCACCCACACCAGGGGGGAGTTTCAGGTTCACAAAGGTGCTATGAGTTTTTATTACACAGTGTGATTCCCTTTCAGAAACTGGAGTGGATCTGGATAAAAACGTGCCATTTACGAGGTTAGGCTAAACAGAGACTAATGTCTTGCTTCTTGGAAAACTTCTGTATATTCAAGATCTGGTCCCTCGTCTGAACTAAGGTGATAGATCATAAATACAAGGGGTCACTGGTGTTTTCCAAGTTGCAATTTGTTGAGTTCCATCCACTTGCACAGTGTAGTGACTGACATCAGTTAGGGAAGAGGCTAAATCTAAACTTGTTTGTGACCACAAACAAGTGCACAAAGAGCACTTTTAGGGCCTCTGGTCATTCCTTTTAGAGGTTAGCATGGGGGAGAGGACACAGTGCCCTATACTGGTGGATCACCACCTACAAGAAGTCCCTCTGGTCAGGTCTCCCTTACTTGCCCTGAATACTTCTTCCCTCTGAGTTCAGGCTCTGTTTTGAAACAAAACATAAATGTTATATTTAAGATTTCTAAATGATAAGTTTTAAGAAGTACAAGTCCTTCTGTATGTGGCCTGAAATTACCCTCAATTTGAAAACAACAAACGTATGACATTAAAAAATATTTCAGTAGTTCTTTGCACAGGAAAACGGAGAATAAACCAGAAGTTCTAAGCACCACGAAAACCCTCATGCATGTGAGCAGATGATGGTGCCGCTCCTTTCAAATTAACGTTTGCTCTATTTGAAACAGAGCCCAACTTGATGTTCTTGCAACTATCCTCAAAAGACTTTTTTTTTTCTGTACTGGGGTTGAACTCAGGGTCTTATGGTTGCCAGGGAGGTGCTCTACCACTTGAGCCACTCCACCAGCCTCTTTCCTCAAAAGATTTTAAAGCCTTCTTTCCCATACAGGTTTTCTCTGGTCTGCTCTATTCCCAAGAACCTAGAATCTAAAAAGAATAGGTCAGTCTACCAGACAACAAAAGTCATGTCATTAAAAAATAGAACTTTAGTGTTTGGAGCCATATTCTTGTTTTTGTCAGAATTACCTACTTACTATCCTTATGGGGAAATGCCTACAGAAAATTAAGAATTTGTCTGATCAGATTTACATATTTTCCCCTTTGCTTCTCAGAATGTATTATTCGCTAGGAATGTAGAAAATGTTTTAGAGTAGAGATAGACTTTCTGTCACCTGTATACTTCCTACCATTCCCCTTCTATGCTCCCTATTGATAGGTAGCAGAAATCTGCATTGGTCAGGATTTTTGCACCTAATAGGGGTGTCATTTATTCAAACATTAATTTTTTCAGTGTTCTTAAATTTATTATTTATAGCAAATAGTAGTAATAGAAAAGGAGCATAACTTTTTGTGGTAATAGTTGTGAATTAAAATCTAAGTAAATTTTTGTAGCATCTTACAACTATTTGAAACTTTAAAAAATTACCTCATTAATTTTCCAGGTATAAAATGAATATGACTTGTCATCCAGAACTTTAATTCATGTGGAACTCTAGTAGGACTGTCAAAGATCTGGGAGATTAAATAAAAGGCTTTGTCTTTTGCCCCAAATGTTGCAGGAAACTAGAGAGATTTGTAAGGAGGTATATTTGGGGTTGTGTGTGTATATGGGGTGTGTGTGTGTGTGTGTGTGTGTGTGTGTGTGTTTGGGTATGATGGAAGTGAGTTCATATTTTTAAAACATCACTGTGACCACATTGGGGCAATAGGATAGGGAGTCAGGTATGGGTATAGGGAGGCACTGACGTAACTCAGGCCAAAGACAAGTACATATATTGAAGACATAAATTTCAGAATTATTTTAATGGTCTTTGACCAAAAGCTATAAAGTGCTGACTTGGAAAATGAAAGTGTTTCATCCTGTGACTTTGATAGCCCCTTTGTGATCTTTCCTTTTGGGAATTTCATCCAGCTGTTAAGATAGTTATAAAACCTACAACTGTGGCCACACAGTGTTGTGCCTCAGTATCGTGAGAGTGTAGAATATGTGTTGATCTTGAATAGCATTCCTTTTGTCATTTATGTATTTTTTGCAGTACTGGGTGCTTGAACTTAGGGCCTCATGCTTGCTGGGCAGGCAATCTTGAGTCATGTCCCCAGCCTTTGTCTTTTTTGCTTTTAATCATTTTTTAGATAGAGTCTTGCATTTTTTTTGCCCAGGCTGGCTTCAAACTTCGATCCTCCTACCTCTCCCTCCCACATAGTTGGGATTATAGGCTTGTGCCACCATGCCCCAGCTTGTTTGTTGAGATAGGGGTCTTTCTAAGTTTTGGCCAAAGTTGGCCTTGAACTGTGATACCCCCAATTTCTACCTCCCAGGTAGCTGGGTTTACAGGTATGAGCCATTGTGGTCAGCTCTTTTTTGTTTCCCCTCTCCCCGCCAGTACTGGGATTTGAACTCAGGGCTTGACACTTTCTAGACAAGTGCTCTACTGCTTGAGCCATACCTCCTGCCCTTTTTGCTCTGGTTATTTTTGGAGACAGGGTTTTGCTTTTTGCCGAGGCCAGCCTGGACCACAGATCTCCTGTTTTATGCTTTCTACTATAGCTGGGATGACAGGCAGGTGCCACCACACCCAGATTTTTTCCACTGAGATGGAGTTTTGCAGACATTTTTGCCAGGCCTGGCCTGGATCTGTGATCCTCTTGATCTTATCCTCCCACATAGCTTGTGATGACAGGTGTGTGCCACTCTGCCCAGCTATTGGTTGAGATAGGGTGTCACAAATGTTTTGCCTATGCTAGTGTAGAACCATGATCCCCCCAATCCCAGCCTCCCAAGAAACTAGGATTGCAGGCATGAGCCGTGGCACCGGGCTCCATGCCATACTTTGAATAGCATTCTTACATAATGGTCTGCTTTGTGAGGCTGGTAAGAACTTGGATTTGAGTGCTCATGAAAAAAAGTATGGGACGGAATTCTTGGGATCTTACTCATTTCTCAAGAGCACCAGTTTAAAAGTCAGAGAGATCCAGGTGGTAGCTCTTGACCTTGGACAAAGGGATTAACTTCTGCTTATACAAGTAATAACACCCCTGCAGGGTTGTAGCATGTAAAAGCAGTGACCTTGTGACTTAGAAGGGTGCTGTGCCTGACGAGCATCTTTGACATTGTGTTATCACTACCTTTGGAGAGGACTTGGATTTGACGGATACAGAAAGTGTTAAACACAGGTATTATTACAAATCTAGAGTTTTGTCTGAAACTCAAAGATGAGTTTTTGCAGCTATCATCAAGGTACTTAGAATAAGATCGTTTGTGTTCCCCCAAGCATAAAGGCTTCGCATCTGCCTTCTTTTATTAGTGAAGATAGTTTTCCTTTGGCTATTTTTGGATATGTTCAAAACAAGGCGCTTTCATGTTAACTAATATAATGTTCTCCTCTCTTATGGTAAGAAGTGAGCAGGAGTGAATTCTTTCCAGGTACACAGAGTTCACATATCCGACAAGCATCTGTCAAGGTATAAGACTATCGTCTGCAGAACACAGCAACAACTCTTCCCAAAGACCTTGGGCAAATTCTGTTCACATCATTTTGCCTCATCAACATCAACAATGGTACATTTATAGATTGCAGGACATGAAATAAAATTATGGTTCTGCCACATACTGGCTGTGGGAATTTTACATCTGTAAACTGGACTATTTCATAATTTTGCTATGAAAATAGATAAAGACACAGATGAGAACACCTGCAGTAGTGCTCAGCAAGCAGTAGGCTGTTGAATCAAGCCAAACTGACACAGCAGAGAAGCTCATTGGCTAACGTGAGGAGTGGAGATGGCGTCAAGCTCTTGGCTTGATTCAGTGTCCAAGTGAGACCCTAGGTTTCAATTCAATGTCCCCTTTCTTCTAGGATGTCATCATTCTGGCTCCAGAAGGAAGCCAGGAGCTGTGGGATCTACCCACACTGTCAGCCAACAGAAGAGAGGTGGCTCACTACCGGATGTTGACCATTCTGTTCTCTGTCACATCCAGGCACTGTACTGGGCACTTTGCACAAAGCCCACAGAACACAAATAGAATGGGGAGAACTTCCCAAGGCACCAAGTGTCTGCTATTGCCCTTGGAAGAGGAATGGATGTGAGGTTTTCAAAAACTAACAAAAGTGTCCAATATAGCATTTAAGGATTGCTCCAAGCGAATAAGGCCAAAGATTCTTTTGACTGGAAATAGCAATTCCATGTACAGTGGTGCTGAGTGTATTTTCAGGAACATTTGGTAACATCTGGAGACACTTGTGACTGCCACAACTTGCACAGATGGTGCTACTGGTGTCTAGTGTGTAGAGGGGCAGAGGTACCAGTGAGCATCTCACACTGCTTAGAACGAGTTTCCCACAATTGTGAATCATCAGGCCCAGTTATCCAGGGTTGAGGAACACTGCTCCCAGGTGTATTAGCCATTGAAAATAATCACTAAATTTTAACTCACTGTGCTAAGCATTTTATGAGTGCTTCCTTGAAGATAGTCACTGATTGTACAAACAAGGGAATATTATTCCCATGTAACTAGGAAACTTGGGAAAAGGTATGAGTCAAGTCTCCAAAGACAGAGTCAAGACTCACATTCACTTCCCAACTCTATGTCAACACTATTCCTTCCTTCCTCTCTCCCTCCCTTCCTCCTTCGCCCCCTCCTTCCTTCCACCTGCCTTCCTTCTTTCCTTTTTCCTCCTTCTCTCCCACGTCCCTCCCTCCCTTTTTTCCTTCCTTCCTCCCTTTTTGGACAGGGTGTCACTATGTAGCCCAAGGTAGCCTTGAATTTGCTCCTCCTGCCTCTGCATGGGCCTCCATACCTGGGCCAAACTCTGTAGATCTCTAAGAAGGCTTACTTTCTACTGAAGGCTC